CTCAAGATGAGGTCCACTTCCCAGGAAGAGAACCTGACCCTACCTGGGCACACAGGCGTCTAAAATCAAGGCTAGATCGCCCTCGGCTTCCTGGACAGCCCAAGCCAGAGTAGGAGCGACAGCTTCCAGGGAGGGTCTCCAGTGGGTGGGCGGGATGTGTCCACATCCTCCTCCCTTTTGGCTCCTGGTGGGAAACGTGGACTGGACAGTAAAAGCCAACAGCCACCTTGGGCCCCGGCTGAGGCGACTTTGGCCTCTGCCGGCGAGGGACCCAGTCCACACAGTCACTTGACAAGAGGTGGGAAGCCTGTCGCCTGTCCAGCCCGTTACCACTAGCTTGGATTCTGCTGCTCTTCACCAACAGTGGCCTTGCACGCATATTTTTGCCATCGTTGTGTTTCCCATGGACTCCGATGGGCGTCCGTTTTTAAACCGGCCTCCTTCCGACTCTTGTGGGCTCGTGGGTTTGGCAAGTCGGCTCTCTGTGAGTGTTACTAGAAATTAAAAACTGAAATGGCGGCGTGAGGCTCCCCAGAACAACAGTGTGACAGGACTGTCAACAGCAGATTCAGGACTCTGCAGAACCCACCAAGGTCTAGACCTGTCTGTTCCAGGAAGCGCACGGGATGGCAGGTGCCCACAGTGAAGGAAGTCTGGTTTCTGCCCCAGCCTGCTCCCGGCGTAGCCCTGGGCTTCAAGGGCCAGGTCTGGTTTGGAAAGTCAAGACCTCAGTGAGGAGGGAGTGGGGAAGGCCGCCTCACACAGCCAGGCTGCAATGCTGGCTGGGTAAGAGACTGGCCACCCAGCCAGAAGTGTAACAGGAGGGATACAGAGAGTGAGAATGAAGAGAGCAGCTGGTGCTGGCTCCGTGGCCTGAGGCACACATGCCCGAGATGTTGTGTACACTCAGGGGCGCCTGGGGGGGGTGCCCCCGAGCCTACTCCACGAGGGCTGTGTGTAGGCAGCACTGAGGCCCCATGAGTGGGGTTCTGAACAAGATCCACTGGCAAAGCTAGGAAGACTCATGGACTCCAGGTGTCTGACCACGTGCTGACTAATCACCAGCTTACCACTGAGCTACACTGATCCGGGGACTACGCCTTGTGGGATATGAACAGGATTTTCCCCAGCTTTGTCTCCCCGAAAGACATGCCAAACCTTACAGGCTGTTTGCCAGCACCTGGTGGGAGGTCGGATGCTTAGAGACGTTCTCTCTAAAGACATTCAGACATCGAACTATGGTCTGATCCACTGTAGATGGGCTCACACCCTACTGATAAGGACAGTAATCGTTTCCATGGAGAGCCAGAGAAGTGGTCAAACCTGCTCAGTGACATCCAAAATTAGGCTACCATCCCGAGTCTAGGATCTCCCCATCTTGTCACATGTATACCCCAATCCCTCCCCTTCCTATTGTGTGTATACCCCTAGATCATCCCCCTCTCATCACTGTATTACCTATAGTACAACCCCTTCCTGTGACATATGTCTTTACCTGTAATCAGGGGGCTTGCACGCCCCCAAAGATATACAAACCTTGGTTAGTAATGAATCGCTCCGTCTCTCCCCTGCCATTCCCACCTTCCACATCCCCACGTGGACCACCGAATGGGGCTGAGGCTGCTACCATGAAGTGTGTCCGACTCCTTTATTGCACTCTCTTCTCTATGACTACCTTTGCAGAGGATCGCTGTCCATCGCGCCTGCCGGGCTGTGATGATTCGTTAGGGGCTGGCTGCCCTGACAACGCCTAAAGGTGAAAGACAAGAACTCCAGAAAACAAGCTGTGCAGAGACACCAGTAGTTGCACAGAGTCAGAGCCCGCAATTACCACGTAGACAAGCAAACAAGAAAACGCTCTCTGGGAGGGGGATCAGAATTCAGAGTTGCTACAAGAAAGTACCCGTTTTTCAGTAATGGCAAAAAATTCAGAGAAAAAGAAATAGGAGAGTGTGGCCCCTACTCAGGAAGAGAACAAATCAGACCACAGACCCTCTCTGTGAAGGGGTGTAGGTGTTGGATTTAGAGAGCGTCAAAACCGCTAACAGGAATGTGCTCAGAGAGGGCAGGGAGACGGAGCACTGGGACTAGAACTTGGGTCATCACTAAAGAGAAGGCCGTGCACACCGAGGAAAATGCCCGGCCTGCCACCAAACTATTTGCCCAGATGCTACCAAATGGGAGCCACTTTCGCCAAAACCACAAAAAAGTATTCTTAAAAACAAATGTGTTCAAAGAACGGAGGGACACTGTTTTAACTTACAAGTCTGTGTTATGAGCTGGCACCGACGCACCCACTCGAGCATCCCGGGAAGAGAGGACACACAGAAACGAAGGACGCTCAGGACGAGTGCGCCCTCCCGGACCACGCCGTGGAGTCACCCTTGCCTTGAGACACTGGAGTGCATGACACCAGGTAACAGGTTAAAACAAAACCAAGAAAAACCAGAACAGCCACGACCAGAATTTTAGGCCCTGTAAATATAAGGGGCTTCCAAATGTTTCTGGAAAAAACAGAATTAAAAGTTCATGGTCTAACTCGATAGCTAACAATGATAAAGTTCTTTCTTGTAAGCTAAAAAAAATTTGGAACCCTTCAGTGGGTCAAGAGGGTCATCACTGACCCCTGGGGACCGGGCTGGGCAGTCTGTTCACAGGGCACAGCCTGGCTGGACGAGAAGGGCGCATAGGCAGGGTAACGTAGGCCCCCCCCTGCCCTGCCCAGGAAGGAGTCCACAGAGGCGCGCTGTGAGTCTGTCGTCGGTTTAATTTATTACTGTTGGACATCCAGTGACACTGACACAGGCCGCCGGGCCTGCTCGCCCGGCGTCTGCCCTGTCCGGCGAGTACAGTACGAGGAGTGGACGGCTACACACATGCATCCACGGCTGACACTACAGTGATTCCAACTGCGGCGGCGGCGGCGGCAACGGCACTGCCAGGGAGGAAAGGGGAACGGCGCCGCGTGCTCCCCGGCCAGGGTGCCGGGTTTCGTCTTCGTTTAAAGCAGTCACTGCTGCAACAAGGCTGCTGGTGCCGGATCCGTCAGGCACACAGCCAGCATCTTCTTACCCGCGCCTGAAACTACGTCTGCTGCTACCAGGTACTGCTAAGGGCTACCCCGCCTCGGCACCACGCCAGGGGCTCGAGACGGCGGCGGATGTCGGCACTCAGTCTTCCTCGCTGCCACTTCCTGAGCGGTCCTGCAGAGGGACAAGCGACAGCGCTGAGTGGGCGTGCACATCCCCACACCCCCAGCCTCCCTCGGGGCCCTCTGACTGCAATTTAAACGTACGTGTGTGTAATGACACACATGGTGGAATCAAGGCCAACCCACTCCGACCCAAGCCTCTTAGCCACGTGCAAGCTGACGGCAAGAAAGGGGGATCTGGCTTTGGGTCCAGCCACCACAGCTCTGAGCCCACCGGTTCTCTTGAGGGACCTGGGTGGAAGGAGCCCTTCTGGCTCCGTCCCTCTGCTGCCTCTTTCCTGGAGCTCTGAACCTGGCCCCAGTCCCGGCCTGCTGGTCACTCCTGACTACAGAAGACGGTTGCTCCTCAGGGGCCACAAGACACCCCACCCCACCCCCGGATCCAGGAGGGGCAGGATGGACTGTCCTTCAGACCCAAAGCATATTTGCTAAATTTATTCCAAGGGACTTTTAAAACAGAAACAAAAAAAAACCATGTGACCTGCCTTAAGACATTTGAGTTCATGACCCCAAGTCACAGGGAAAACAGGCACGACTAGACCTTTCAGGCCTGCGAATACAAGGGGCTTCAAGATGTTGGCAGGAAACATGGGGATTCGAGTTTCAAAGGCCTTTCAGTGAGGTCCAGAACCTGGAACCTGGAACCTGCGGGCAGGGCCCTCTCTCGGGGAGGGAGCAGGCTCCCCTGGAACACAGAGCGGCAGGAAAGAAAGCGTGCCACCCACACCGAGTGGGGAGCTCGACCCCTGGGAATAAGGCCATGCTATGTGGGGTCCTGGCTCTCCCAGGAATAAACTTCAGGAAGGTGGGGACACAGGTGGGGGTGGTGAAGGGACAACATTGAAGAGAACCTGCTGGATGGTCTCATGAGACATCTGACTGCTTGTGGCCACCAAGGGCTAGCTGCACGATGAGACCAGCAAGGACTTCTGCCAGCAGGTGTCCTGCACGGTGGTGGGGCGAGCCAGCAGCAATGCCGTGTCACCAACACAGCCACCCTGCTCTGCTGTGCAGAAGCAGCATTGGAGGCTGGGGCAGGGCCAGCGTTAGCGAAGAGCCTCATGCTGAGTCCCAGCAGCTTTGAATCTGCCCCCTGGGCCTCAAAATGCCCACCTGGCCTCGAGCTTCTGCGGGTGCTGCACACCAGGGCTGCCAGTGTGGCACCAGGACCTGCCTCTCACTCCTGTGTCTGCTTCCTGGTTTGGCAACAAGGGTTGTGGGGCTTTTGTTTATAACCCACTGGACCACACGGAAACCCTCCCCCAGTTGCAACGGAAACCAGGAAGTCCCTGGGGTCCTAGGCAGGCCTGCCTCCGGGGCGCTGAGTACAGGCCCAGCCGCTGGCTGGCATTCAGAGGGCCAGCCGGAGTCCCACAGACCTGGCCTGCGTGTAGCACTGCCAGGAGCTGCTGTGTGACGGGGCAAGCTATGCGACGGCTCGGTCACCGTCTCCAGAGCACGGTGCTGGAGTGCCTGTCCGTGGAGACTGACGGCCAGTGACCTCAGTGTGGCCGCAGGCCTGAGCCCTGCAGCTGGGGTGCGGCCCACCCCATCGGCCCCTTGGGTCTCCCCCCAGCAGGGCCTGGCCCTCACCTCCTCCTGCTCCTCCTCACTGTCGTCATCGCTCACAACCGGCTTGGCCCGGGACCCCCGGCTCGGCCGCCGCCGGCTCCCCTTTAGGCGGTCCTGGGCCTTCTCCTTGCGGCCGAGCTTGATTTTCACCTTGACGGAGCGGGCTGTGGTGGGGAGGCGAGAGGGAGAAGACAGGAGTTCTGAAGAGCCCAGCACCTCTGAGTCAGAACCCCGAGATCCGACCACACTGCAGACAGCTGCCCGGTGCCCGCCCACACGACAGGACTCACACTCGGACTCTGAGCCTTCCTCCTCGCCCTCCTCCTCCTCCTCGCTCTCCTCGCCCTCGCTGTCGTCCTCCTTCTCGATCTTCTGCCGCACGCTGGTGAAGACCGACTGCAGGACGATGGAGTCCTCGTAGATCTGGGGGCGAGACCGGGGGCTCCAGTGCCCGCTTCCCGCGCCCCCACCCTGACAGTGCTGTGTGGCCAGGACAGCCTGGGGGTGCGGGGGGTGGGCTTCCGCCCTGGGGTCTTTCCCTAAGAGCATCTGGTTCATGAAACGCTCCCAGAAACAGGGTTCAGGGCTGAAAGTAGCAGAATCACAGGGAACCCCAGCTTGCACAGGCTCTGTGAGGGTCTGTAGTCCCCGAGAGTAGGTGAGCCCTGGTCAGGCAGGCCACCCGACCTGTTCTGGTGAACGAAGGGTGTGGAGGGGCTTCATGGGAGTCACGGGGCGAGCCTGGGGCTGCCTTCTGGGAGGGTCTGCCTGCTGGTGCCAGGAGCTGAATGAGCTTGGTTTGTCTACCTTGTCTTTCCTTTGGACTGCTTCTCAGTGAGAGCCCAATCACTTCCACAATCAGTACACGGGGCAAGTGGCTGGGCATTTATTTGAACCCACACCCCACGAAGGGCTCGGAGCCGTGTTGGTATAGTGCTCACACTTAGGTCAGGTCTGCCAAGCCCAAGGTCAGCAGTTCCCAACCCACCGGCCACTCGGGTCGCTATCGAGTGGGAAACGACTCCATGGCAGTGAGTCTGAGAGTTCCAAAGAGAATGGGACATGTTGGTTTGCAGCCCCGGAGGGGCAGGCGGGCGAGGAGGAAGATGAGAGTGGACCCAGTCCTGCTCACCAGCGAGCCCTCCAGGTTGAAGGTCTGCGCGTTCTGACACAGCAGCATGACATCCTTCTCCAGGTCGTTGAGGCTGCGGTACTTGTGGTTGCGGATGCGCTCCTGCAAGGGAGGGGAGGGGAAGGGAGCAGCCTGATGTGAGGACCTGCATGGCCTGCCTGTTCCCACCCTCAAGGTCAAGGAGAACCAATCAGGGGCGGGGCGTGCTGGGCTCACTGGCCCTAGCAGTACCTTGATCTTCTTGAAGTCCACGGGCTTGCGAATGAGCTCGTAGTACTCGGGCAGCTCCTTCCTCGAGGGCAGCTGGATGAACACCTCGCTGAGTTGACGTCCACTGCTACTGCAGGGGGGACACAGCCCGCGTCACTCAGAGCCCCACAGCTCTAGGGGCCCCAGGCTGCCCAAGCGAGCACCCTGCCACCTGAGTACTTGAGGGCAGCAAGGGTGAGAAGTTCAGCTTGGGCTGGAGTGTGAGTTCCAGGTATGTGCCCTCTCATGACCTGAGGGACATTCCCCAGTGGCAACCCTGTGCGCTGGGCAAGACGAGGACGGCTGGGCTGGGAAGCAGTCAGAGATCTCAGCTCTGTCGTCCACCCGGCCTCGCCGGAGGAGCTCACACTGCACGGCCCTTGGCACCTGTGGCCAGAGCCTGGACACCGCTTCTGTGCAGCTCTCCCGGTGGGTGGATGCACCGGGGGCCAGCAGACCCGGGAGTCCTAAAGGAAGACGAGAGCTGCCTTCCAGCCCCTTCCATTGAGGAAGCTTTTTACCCAGGAGCAGAGAGGGGTCATGCTGGCTCCTCCTGGGCGCACTGTGGGGAGCTGGACGGAGACACAGGTGGGGGAAGGCTCTGAGGAAGTGAGCGGAGCAGTTCCAGTCAGACAGTGACCAGTGGGTACAAAGCCAAGAGAGTGCGTCTCAGCTCAGCTGTTCCTGCAGGAGCCTCGGTCTCCAGGCACTCTTGGTTGGGGCTGGCCTCCCATAAACGGGTCTTGCTTGGTTTGATGAGGCTGTCCGTCCACAGAGGTGACCAGGCCAGCTCCTCCCTCTTCCTGGCTCCATTTGCTGGCTGGGCTGGCATCCGGGTGCTGATGCCAAAGTGGCTCCTCTGTGAAGAGGTGAAGCCGCCGTCTCTTGGGGGGTGAGGGGGGGACAGGCTCCTGGCGCGGAGCCTGGAAACTCGAGTGTCCAGGGCAGCTCTGCTTCTCAGCCTCTCTTCTTTTCAGGACAATCAGCCTGCGGATCCAGAATGTCACCAATTCTGTGTTTTACTGACTCTTCTGGGCATCAATGTGGGGCCTGTTCCAGATGATGCAACCAAGGCGCAGGTGTACCTGCCTGCAGGCTCCT